CGCTAGCGGTCGGCCCGTCCGGCACAGCTCAACTCGCGTCTCGAGCGCCGGGACCGCCGGCCGTCAGGTGGCCTGCGGGGACAGCCCAGCCGGCATGACGAGGCGCCGCCGACCGACCGCACTCGACCCGAGCCGGGCCGCAGGCGCCCTCATTGGTGTCGCGGCTCCGAGTCGTGCGCTGAGTTTACATGCGTGCCGTCATTACGAAAGAATAGCCAGTGTCAGCCTGTCTACTCAAGACGGCGTGCAACTAGCGTGACGTTTGGTGTGATTTCAGCTGTCCTCGGTACTTCCATCCGGGTAAGATCGAGCCCACGCAATGTCCCGGGAGTCGTAGGCGGCTGTGCCGCCGCTGCGGTTGGACTGCCCTGATCTCTCCTCGAGTGAAGAGTCTTATCTTCAGTTACAAATCTTTCATGCCCACATCTGGAAGCCGACCACAATTACCATTTTACGACCAGCAATATTGTGTCGTCGGTCTTAGCATTTTTGGGCCAGTTTGCAAAAAACAGCCATGCGCTTATCCTCTGAGCACCCATGTAAGCAGCTGTTCCCAGAGTCGAGATAGCTGGGAGCTTCGATGCACAGCAGCAATGGAGGAATTACAAGACAGAGTATCACATGCAACGTCGCGACATGATGTTCCTCTTGAATCATAAGCACCAGGATATCATGTTGGATCAAAATACTGCGGCTCATCGCGTTTCCAGTACACTCGTCGCGATTCCAGTGCGCGGTTTTTTGCACACTTTCAGGGCATTTAGGAAAAGCTGGGACATCGCTTTTGCATTTGCTTGTGTGCGTGTAATAATATTCAGCCTCAGTGATTTTGATCCCGATAATATGTTTGACCGCGACCAAAATGTGTTACCAACTCACGCGCAAATAATTATGCGGACAAAAATACGACAACAAAACATATACAACAAAATTTTCGTCACATAACAGCATTTATAAATCGCTATACGTCACATAGGACGGAACAATTTTCCGGGACGTTGATCGCTGTGGAATTCCTGGGAATATCTGCCTTCAACTTTCGGTCTCGGACAGTACCTGCATGACAGCAACTTAGATATTGGAAATTTGTTTCACCGGCCTCATGTGAAATTATACAAAACGTATGCAGAATTGGCTCTGAGATATGATATTTTGCTAGACACAGCTGATCGAGTGAACGCTACCTTCGTCACGCCGATGAAGTGACCCACGCACGAGGGAACAAATTTATCCTGGCTGTTTGGTCAACAGAACTGTGAGACATTTACCGTAAAATGCAACGTCAGGGCACGCTGGCTGAGGTGCGGGTCCCACGCATAGTCCGGGAATCGTGGGAGCTCAACTTTATATCCAACCGGATGGTTTGTCCGAGCTGCACCGTCATTCGACTAATATTACAAATGTTCATTAATCACATTCGTGAATGAGCAATGCACAGACACGTGTGTAACCAGCTGCACAAATTGACTCACACTTGTATCAGTTAGATTGTGTTTTCTCTCCTCTGTCGAGGTTTGGTGGTCTCGTCACGCTGCGGTGCTACTTCCTCGATATCTGGTTCGGGGTTTGCGCTGTGTTGTAGACTTTTCGGAATGCGGAAACTTTACGTTTCCAGTGTTACCCCAATAGGGGAGGCAAGTTTTTCCAGTTGCAGGGCTCCAGGAAAAAAAAGGCTCCCAGTTAACAGCCTGCAAATCATCAACAGCCAAGCGGTACAATTCTTAAACAATTAGGTTTTTAGTTGCTGACCTTAACTTAGGGGCAAAGACATTAGCTTTAAAAGTCATGCCGGTCGAGCTGGGAAGGGCCGAGCCGCCCTAGTTCAAAAGCGTTTCATGGTCCATGTGAGACCCGTACGACCCGCAGCACTCTTCGGAATACGTACTCCAGTGGTAATGAACCGCAATCCTGAGTCTGAAGCAGCAGCATTGGCACGTTCAAAATACAGAACAACGGAAGTAATAGCACTGATGCGACGGCAGCTGCGGCTCACTTCACCTTGACGCTATGGCTGGAATATCATACGGCAATGCCGGCATGTCATAGAAATGCCAATCTTTCATGGGGGCGGTGTTGCCAATAAACCAACGCAAACTGCACATGAAGGGCAAACTGAAAAGACGAACCTTGTATTACATCGATCAGGATGAGACATGGTAATTTTATAAGTTGTAAGTACCACAAAAAATTTTAATTTAATAGGTAATTTTATAAGTTGTAAGAACCACAAAAAAGAAAAAGGACGCAACCAACTGCTTCTCACAATAGCTGCAAACCGAGCAACACAAAGAGTTTATTGCCACACATATTTCACGAAAACAAGCTTTAAAAAGTCTACCAAACTCATCATGACGTACAAATTAGGGCTGCCAGGGTGGGATTTTATTTCACATTGGTGCACGAGCCAACTTGCTTAACACGACCCATCGTTCTTGTGTGTGTAATTTGAATATGTCAGTCAACTGGCCATCGCAGCGCACGTGGCCCATATCTAATTTTGAGTGCAGCTGCCCCTGCGGGGTCCCGCGGGCCCATGCAAGACTCACGTATTTCGAGATCGGCCCGAACTCTGTGAGTCATTTTGGATGCGACAAGCCACCGCACAGGCTTCGCCGCCGCGCGGACCGGCCCCGTGTGGAGGTATATCGGATTTATCGTTTGAGCGGAGTGAAGCGAAATCGCACTTAGTTGATGATTGCATAAAGGTGCTGCCTGACGGCACTGCAAAGCAGGCCGTGTAAGGAAAACTAGATGACATTTTCAGAGGGGAAAGTACACAAGCAAGTCGGAATGTACAATAGCAAATACAGGCTATTTGTTTATGATGTTTCTTGTGTCGACTGAGCCCTATCCAAGGTTCCGTCTGCGTTTGGCAGCCGGGGTTCTGAATTGTGTTCAGTCATGCTACTAGTCTCGCAGCCCTGTTTTGAAGCCTCAGAGGTCAGAGTGGGTTAGCCACGGTGATATGTCGTGGCAGACTAAGCGGCAATAGTCAATGCAGGGTTGGAGGTATGTGGCGCAAATCTGAGCAAGAACGGGCCTGGCAGTGTGATTTGCTGTGGGACAGGTGGGGCTGATGACTCGATTCATATTTTTCGTCACTTCATGGGTGTCGTGAAAGCGTAAGTCATCAATCAATCAAGATCATTTTTACTAGCCTTCCCTGAAAGAACCGGTAGCACCACCATTGTTCAAATCATGGTCGGACAAAATCTCCAAAAGATCACGTGCGATAACCACCCACTAGCCTTGAGGGACGCAGACGATCAGTGGCACACAACAATGAGCCATAAAGCAAACGCAGTTACAGGCATGTGGGCCTATCTACATTCCGCCCGCTGTTTTTGGCAGACAAAGCATTCCTCCCGGCCCGTGCTATCCTGTCATTTCTGCCATGAACAGTATGTCATTCTGGCTGTGAACCCACCATGGACTGAAATCAGTGTTTTCTCTGAACCTCATTTGAACAGATCGGTAAAGACTTGCAAAACTTGCATGCAAAATGTCAACATGTTTCTAACTTAACATTCCAAGATGCCAAAAGATCATGCTGGCATTTTCCATGTGTGCTCAAAGTACGGCCTGTAGACTAGGCTAATGATTAATGTTATCAATTAACCACAAGTCATGGTCGGCGTTACTGGATATTGCTATGTATGTTCTGTGTGATAAACGCGATTGCAAGCTTTATGCCTTAGAATGTCAAGGAATTAAAGAAACGTCGACGAAATACAAAAAAGTCAAGATTGTGATTTGTTTGGACTCTTACCGCCATCAGGTTTACTTCTGTTCACGACAAGCATAGCTCAGAAAGCAAGCGCTTAATGCGCCAGATCGGGAAACATCTCGAACCGTAACAAACTACGAAGCCCCTATCATTACTTAGCGAGTAGCGTTTTCTTTACAACCTGCTTGCAAAATACACGATACATAATGCAGTTTATGTATACACATATACATATATATGCATATGTACACACACACATATATATATATATATATATATATATATATATACATACATACATACATATATATATATACATACATACATACATACATATATATATATATATATATATATATATATATACATATATGTGGCATGTGGTGAGTGGGCGTACATACATATATACATGGCATGTGGGCATATGAGCATGTGATGAGTGTGCGTAAGGGCGTGCGTGTACACGAGCTGCATCACGCATTCTCTCTCTCTCTCTCTCTCTCTCTCTCTCTCTCTCTCTCTCTCTCTCTCTCTCTCTCTCTCTCTCTCTCTCTCTCTCTCTCTCTCTCTCTCTCTCTCTCTCTCTCTCTCTCTCTCCTCTCTCTCTCTCTCTCTCTCTCTCTCTCTCTCTCTCTCTCTCTCTCTCTCTCTCTCTCTCTCTCTCTCTCTCTCTCTCTCTCTCTCTCTCTCTCATTTTCTCCTTCCCTCTTTCAACACCCCCTTTCCCTCTTTTTTCCTCTCTCCGTCGCTTGATCCATCTGTCTATAAAAACCTTCATGTGTGGTATGTTTTATACTGGCTTTGACGATGCTTGCGTAATGTATTAATGCCAGTTTGCAGCGGTTCGTATATCAAATGGTGCACTCGTTCATTCCGAACGACCAAAGCAGAGCCTTGTTTACGTAATACAAGATAATGAATGCAGCATCTCAACGATTTCGCCAATTTCCGTATTCTGGAGACATTTACCATTTTGAACACGTGCAATCCCTTGCAGCAATGCGAACACATGCGTGCTGCGCGGTACAAAGCACTTCAATGTTTACGGCAGTTTCGAACTCAATTAGTAGATACGAATATCACGTGCGCTGCCAAACAACTGTTTACAGATGGAATGGGGTTCCGTGTCTCTACTTATTCGCAACAAACTCTCTGAGCGTTGCTGTCTGGGAGGAGGTTTGTGTGTACGGTGTGCGGTGTGCTGCGGTCGAGCGGCGGGTCAGGGTTTGGGTCAGGCGCGCGCGGGACCGGGCGAAACGCCGCAAACGCTCACCAGATGTCGGCAGCCAAGGTCACCGCGTCAAATCGCAGAATCTCGGGTGCTGAAAGGAAGGAGAGACGAGTCATGAGCACAGCACATGGTACACACATCTTAGTAGGAAAGCGTGCAAACAGCACCAAGTGTGGCAGACAACTGACATCTCATGTAATGAATTCGGACTTGACATCATGCCATTAGTTATATTTGCAGTTCAAAGCCGTGTTTCCTTCAGGCTGCACAGCGCTAGCAGAGACTCTGATATGTACTTGCAAGTTTAAAACTGGTTGCAATAAAATTGACTGCAATGCAAATATATGAATGCATAACGTTTTATACCTGACATGCATGCCTGCATACCTCATCTTTCTGCAAAGCAACAAGCTATTTGCCTCCACCTGTTCAAGCCATATTGACTAGCCTCAGCCAAGAGCGTGAAAGTTGAGTGCTTTAAGTTGGCGACAATGGACTTTTGTTCCAGGGCAGTGTGATGATATTGCATAGATCAGACAATTCGTAGAAGGGAGCTGGCAACCGCCGAAACTATATACCTTACACGGGCGGCCATGTCGTGCACGAGCACGAAAAGTATTCATCAGACCTCTTGGAGCTAACCCCACCTATCCACCCACCTGGTTTACCCGGTCTACCTATCTGGTTGCCTCTCTGCCCGTCTAAAACGGTAGAACCCTGCACTCCACCGCACGTGCTCTGCGTACGATTGTACGTTTTTCTTTTTACCACGACCAACCGTATCACGTGGGACATTTCTGCTCGCAGCGTCTGCTCAATTGCACGCTTCCAACGTCCTCACGTGGGACAATGAAATCTGTGCACGTGTGGATGGAGTGACTTAGACGAGGATGCCTACAGTGGGCTACTGTTAGCACCTTCCTCGAGGTGGGCTTCTATCAAGTCCAGAACTAGATCACTAATGTACATATTGTGTTCGGTTCGGCCCCGACATTCCCGGGCACGCAGGCTGCAACAAGTCAGAGACTACCGGCGTCTAAACCTGTTCGCATGTCCCTGTAAAAAGCCCAGCCGAAGCCAACCGCTCCGCTCAGCTATGCTGACGACGGTGGCTGCCAGGACCTGCTGCTGCATCCGCTTACTCGGCGACCGAGCGAGCGCCGATCGCATCACTCCAGGGGTGCCTAACACGACGGCTACTGATGCTGTTTGTGTGCGGAGCTGTGACCTGACCGTGAGGTGACGCTCATGACGGTGTCGGCACAACATGCACAGACTGCCGCGTCGTGACCGACCGGTCAACAGCAGCCGTCAGTGGAGCGCCCGTCGCAAGCCACGCCGGGACAGCTGGTGTCGGCGGCGCCCCCCTCCCCCCCCCCCCCCCCCCTCCCCCGGCCCGCCGCGGTGAAGCCGCGACGCCGTGCAGCCGACCAGTCTGTCAAGGTATGGTCGGACCTCTCCAGAGCGGGGCGGTGTTTGAGTGATGGGTGGGGACGCGCGAGACAAGACAGCAGTGTCTTCAGCTGCTCCGTGTGCTAGGTCGAACGCTGGGTTGATACTGGTCTGAGGGGCATCCGCAACTTGTCCGGCAGTGGCACGTCTGCGGACCGATGCCAAGTGAAATGCTTCGGTCCGATGCGCATTACTCGCGGAGAAATGCAATGGTGCAACAACCTTGGGTCTCCCCTTCCCCACTGATGACGTTGTCATTGTTCGTGACTTCTGGTTAGGAATTTTTCACTGGTTTGGTTATCTAAGAAAGCGAGATATTCATTTAACTTGGTGAGTTGTGTCAACGAATATTCTCCATCAGCCTAAGGGTAGCATACGCTCAATGCGTGACGTTATAAACACGTCTACATTTGACTTATGCTTAATTATAACAAAATTAGGCGTAATAGGCTTATAACTACGGGGATCAAACAGTATACTCCAACCTAAATTATACGTTCGTGAAGGGTAAGATTATCTCGGCTGGGATCGTATATGAGTAGACGTTTGCTCGCTACGGTCCAGGTATGCAGACAGCGTTTGAACTGTACGTTGAAGCTGAATGATGTTACCCAACTGAGATAAGCACGTAAAAGCTTCTCGTGGACCTACTTTTCCGTGATTACCTCAGATTACTGCAACGCCATGGCTCAAACGTGGTTTGCACAGGTCAGGTAATGAAGAAAAAACATCACACGCAACCAAATGATATTCCAAGCATACTAGAAGGGATCGCTATATTGTTCTTTGTGCTAGTGTTTTTATCGGTGCTTGCGGTCTAGCCGCAAACCCCATTTTAGAAGATAACCCGTGCAGGCAAGCAGCAGCTAGCTTACACTCTTCGCCGACCACACTACGCCTGCTTCATGCCATGTGTCTCTCCGTTAAATGTCGTTGATAGAGCTTTGGTTAATGCCTTCTACACCTTTATTTATGTCGGCCTTCGACGTCAAACACAAATTCCCCGAAAATTGCCTAAAAGGCATTTGGAACTGCAATTAATCTCGACAACCAGAGAAAACATAGTTTTCGCATCCACCCTCTCCAAAAATAAGGTTTTTCCAGAACGATTGCCGAACGACGCGTTGTAACCGCGCTGAGCTTTGCATAGCTATAGAGAATGCAATAGCAGACTATTTGATGAGAAAAAAATAGGCGCGCCTCGAAAAGGTTCTGACCTATGGTAGGTCAAAGTCAGCCGATGGCTGTTAGCAAAAGGCATTTCTAGAAAGTGGTTCAATGTGATGCAACAATGGAGTGTTAGACGAAGCCTTCAAATCTGTAGTAGCTTCTTAAGCAATAAACCAATTTTAAATAACAACCAATTCCATTGACTTAGGGTTATGTACGAAGGTCCAGAAGAGGTCAAAACTTACGTGCTTTTTTACTGGAGGGCTTGGTTTTATGGGGAAGTGTCTGGTGCTCATTTGGAAGCTATTGTTGACAGGGGCCGCATCATACATGCCCCATAGACTTTTTGAGCGTCAGAATAGGCCCCTGAAATGACCCAGGTTAACACTTTTCTTATGAACATAATGCCTAGTGTAATCCTTGGCGCTTATTTAAACGGCAATAAAATGAAGATATAGGAGCAACCTCGTAGATATTTCGTCACCTTGCACTTGTAAAGGTCAAGCAAGGTCGATGACCTCCTTCAACCTGGAACAGGCTCAGAACAGGTATTTGATTCGCGGCGGTTGCATGAGGTCTGAGGGCACTTGGGGCACCAATTTGGAGTTTAACTTTGTTTGACCTTATTTAACCCCAAGGTCATAATCAATCAACATAAACCTTTGACACAAGTGAGTCCACGTGCAGGTACATCTACGATCTAAATTTGGTGTCGCTAGCTATCTTAGTTGTTGAGATCTCACGAAGGGGGTCAAATTGACCCCCACCCGAGTGAAAGCTTTTCAGCCCGGGCGCGTGTTAACTCAGCAAAAAGAAAGATGCACATAACACACACAAACTGATACTTTTACCAAAAACGTAATGCAACTAAAGACAAGTTTGACATATGCTGATGAAAACTAACACCAGAGAACGAAAAGCACTTACAGACGTAGTCCGGGGTCCCGAGCATCTCCCGTATGTCTTGAGCCGGGGAGATGACCCGCGATATCTCGAGGTCGCACAGCTTGATATCGCAGTCCGGGAACGCCCCGGTCAGAACCAGATTCTGGGGCTGAAAGGGGAACTCAATCAGTTGCCGTTGTAATCAGATGTTACAGTTTTGGAGCCCTGTTGGGAAACGGGAGGGGTTACAACTGGGGCCGAACTCTGGGACCAGCCTGCAGGCTGCAATCGGAGGGACTGTCCGCCGGTATATAGACTAACGGTGTGATAGATGTCAAGTGCAGAACAAATTCCAAACACGAAGAGCAGCTGGTTGCGTGGGTGTGTCATATTATGTCAAATGTCAAATAGCTCAAGCTTCCATTTAATACATTTATAGCTAAGATAGTTACGTCTCACGCAAACGAGATGCGTGCCAGGTTTCCTTCACCAAATCTAGAGATCACACATGCAAAACAACAGCATAAATCAAGTGTGCGCCATTCTCGGATACGGCAACAGTGCGGGCAGATTGGGGCCAAAGCCTTACGCGATCATAGTGACATCGATATCAAGCGACCAACTGCATTTACAAAGGCTACATATCCGTCGGGTCTGTGGGAGCACAATAATCTAGCAATGTTTCGACATGGGTTTCCTTCTTAGGCGTAGGAAACCAATGTCGACAATGTTTCAACGTAAATGTCCGGGGCGTGAGCGCCACCCAATTTTTATACGAAGTTATCCACTAGACTCGCTACAGAAACACTTCTGGCTCATCGCGGTGCCCGCTTGCCGGAGGCAGCGGGGAGGGAAGGGTTCGTAAAATGAATAGTGCTGCTGTTACTATTTTTTACTTTAAGCCTTCCTGTTTTCTGTAAAAAGAGTCAACGTTTTTCTCTATAACTTTCCCAGAGATGTCGTTGTGGATGTGACTGTGGATGTGGATGTGGATGTGCGTATGACTGTGGATGTGGATGTGCCTGTGGATGTGGATGTGATGTTTTGCGGTTCACTAATTTTAGCCCAAAGGATGTTGCACTGAGTGTTTTCAGGTTCACTTCTAGCACTGCTGGAGGTAGTTCCATTTCATCTGAATTCTTGGGTCTTGCGAACGTAAAAAGTATGTCTGGTCTTGACCCGCCGGTGGGATTGTAATACGGGCCAATCCAATCCGGATATAAATCAATTTTCTACGGAAGTATGCAGTCCGCGAGGTGCTCTACATGTAACATCACAGTCATTAACCAAATTATTTACCGTTTTCAGATCCATTTTTAGAAAGGCACACATTGTTAGATTATTTCGACGATGACGACGATAGCGGTGACGTAATCAAACTATGCCACATTTAGCAGCATGTTCACTTAACAGAGAATCGTGCTGTCTAGGACTGCCTTTTCCACTGAAAAAGTATACCAATAGTTAAAAATGAGCTGGTTGCATCATGCCTGATGTTTGCTTCAATATTTTCAAGTGTTAAACGTTCCCTTTGAGAATACATTTACAAGCCACGTACAGCTTCAGTTTTCAGTGCAGTTTTCTCCTTCTCTCTCCACTTCAAGGCAGTGTAACACAGTCGAAGCGTCTATCACTCAGCTCCAGGGCCGTAAACGTCAGCGTAGACACGTGGCGGAGTGGATTTACGACCTGGTGCCCAGCCAACGTCAAGTGCGCCTCACAGAATTGGCTGGCCTTTCACGCTTCGTGTCCCCACGTCCAGCAGCTGATGCTGACTGGCCCTGTCGGCTCTGAGAACACCATGCGTTGGTAGCAGGACCTGTCCCAACTGCGCCATCAGCAGAGACACCGACGAAGGCTTCATGTTACCCAATCGCCTCGGGTGGCTCCGTAATTGGGGGCCTGCTTGTTATGACTGGCGGGGCGCCGATCAACGTCAGTCAAACGGCCGCGTCAGGCCAAGGCCCCAGTATGTGTGGCGAACATGTCCGGGTGCTCATATGCCCGCCGCATGCTAGATGAGCCCACTTTGACCGAGTGCTGAAAAGTCAGCAAGCAAGTGCAAGCACGCGGTCACTTGGGATCGGCAGTGATCAGGTTGCATCCTGCGCTACGCAAACTAATAAACCACGGTTTGCAGCACCGTCATGTCACACTGCAGAACGATAGGTTTTCACGGCTGGTAAGCCAGCCAGGCGGTTTTGACCAAGTGCAGATCTTGGGATGCATGGTGATACCGTGTGCAGACACCGGCCTGCAAGCAGCGTCCACCACCTGAGAGGACAGCATGAGAACGGTTGTGTGACAGGGGCGGGGGGAGGGGGGGGGGGGGGGCGGAGGCGGGAGACAGTGTGATGTTTCGGTCGCTCAGCTCATGCATAATTTATGACCCTCCAGACTGGTTTGCTCCGCCATTGGTTGGACAAAGCCACACGGATTTGACGAACGTCATGCGACGCCCACGAAACAGGTCTGTTTCGGTGGCCAGGCCACGCAACGACGATGGTCGCTCCACCGAACAGGAAAGGACCGTGGAATGTCCATTGCTTTCAGAGCCGTTTCTGCACCACCTCTTAATAGTCTAGGGTCATCTGCCGCACCTTTTCTTCCATTTATAGTTTTATTCTGCCTAAAGTAAGTTTAAACCAAGAGTTCCAATCGTCTTCGAGATAAATGTACCAGTATAGTCAGACGGTATCTAATAATGTATGATGAGGTCCGAATGGCAAAATAATGCAAAAGGATTCTGTCGTTCGGCCTGAATCCAAAGTGAACTTCTCCTATAGCGCATTTCGAACAAACAAGGCGGGAGAAACGACATGTAGCTTGAGATACATATGTATCACAGGTCACAGGTATGCCCAAATCCCAAACCATTTTGTTGGCCATGCCAGTTTGTAGTCAAACAAGGTGTCTGAATTCATAAACTGATTTGTCAAACAACATGACTGCCGTGATTGCGTTTTCTATATACGTCAAGTTAACTGTGTTCAGCTACGCTTTGTTTGAATTCGTGTTATTTCAGATGGACTTGTGAGAGTATGTTAATAGGGTTCGTAATGGTCAAAATCCCTTCAGCGGCGGATAGGATCGGAATGAACTCAGCAACTACGAAGAAAGCGCATAGGCGGTAGAGTTGAACCACTGATTCAAAATAACAGGCCAGACCAGATCCTGAAAATTCAATCCACAAAAAGCTATTAAAAACGTGTCGAAGAAGAAAAACGAAAGTGCAATTCATCGAGAAAAGGAAAATCTCACACCATTTGCACTTGGCGGGCACAATGACAGAAGGTTCCATCTCACCAGTGGCGGACCAGCGTCCCGCTGCGGCTGCGGAAGCCGTGGCACCACGCTCCTTTGGCCCCTGCCTGGTGATGGCCCCGGCAGCTTTGGTGGCGCCTACCTTGATGTCGAGGTGGGCGATGCTCCTCTCGTGGAGGAACGCCAGCCCCTCCAGCAAGCTCCTCATGAAGCGGACCACGTCAGCCTCGTACGGCACCTGGTTGTTGTCCAGAATTCCTTGCAGGTCTCCACCGCTGCCTCTGGTGACGACACACAAAGGTCAGCTGAACAGATGTCCTTCCATAGATAAACTATTATTCTTCATGGACCTGCAGCCGAATTTGCCATTGGGAATGACCACTAATTCCGCAAAACACAAACCTGTAGACAAAACAGAGGAGCTGTTTGATGGCGTGCGTGACACAGTAACATGTGGTCAGCAGTTAATGCTGAACAGCATTTCAACGGGTTAGCATATAAATAAAAGCATACTAACTGAACAGTGTCGTTCAAGCTAAAGTAAAGCTTTGTTGAGGCACGTAACACGGAAAACCTTCACGTTACGTTCAGGCATACGTGTTCCCTTCCTTTCTCCAGTCAGTTGTGGTTAAAGCAATGACGTACCGAAATGTGTACGCTGATCAACCGAATCCAGGAAATCTGGCTGTCATTTCGAAATCGCGCATGAACCCTTGTCAGGTGGAAGCTAACCGTATCCGCCTGCTTCGTTGGAGCGGGTTTAAGGATCTCCCCGTTATCTGGGCTCAATTAGGGCTTGACGAGGAATATAGGCGAATGAATCGTTCGGTGCCTACGGGATCCGCCGATGTCTGGTTTGGCCTCTTGCAGCCAGCCGCCGACCTTTCACGTCACGTCAACCCTAATGACGGAGACTTTATGATAAAAATGGTAGCCTTCGCGGGAAAGAACGGCGCCCAAGAAAATAGAAATTGAATCGTGTTTTGGATCAGATTCAGAGCGCACAAAGATCAAAAACTAATCTGAGGTGAAATTAGACATTCTTAGGTTACTGACCTCATCTGAACGTAAAGCTGTCTTTCACCTATCGCTAATGACGATTGCCACTTCGAAGTGTCGTTCTATGCCATTTCCGCACCCTCGGGTATCATTTACTGCCAATGGCTAGCAACAAGACCAACAAAAAGAACATTAACAGAGAAAAACCGGCACTTGGGGCTTCGGTTAAGATGTCTTGCAAAACTGTGCAAATGACGTCGCAGTTGACAGCTGGTCAGAATTGTGCCAAAGCGGAGAATATGAAAGGTTTCCAGATCACAGACCTGAGGGGTGCCACGGTTTGCTTTAGAGACATCAGTTTTCTCCGGGGCCGTCTCCCAGTTTGCATCAGCAAGAGCATTAACTGTTACAGACGCCCTTGAAGCTCTCAAACGTCGTAAAATCTGAAATCGCCATCGCGGATTTTCTCTTTTTTTAACTGTCCATAAAACATAACTTCAGTCACCCTTCGAGGACCTGGAGAAAACCCCACGATCCGTCAGAAGGGCAACTCCGGGTGATATAAAACTCTTAAAGAAAGGGGGCGGGAACAAAAGGAACAGTCGCCTCCTGGCAGATGGCATCACCACACCCCTGGTGTAGTAGTGTCATCTCCCTGCCCTCCTGCCCATTGACGATCGCCAAGGTGGAATGACCCGAGAGAAGTATTTTTGAAGTATTTCTGCACGCATAAACCAATGAAATGGGTACGAAAAAACGCTAAGTACTCATAGCGTAAGAAGTGCAATTAAGTGGAAGAAAGTGCAGTAAGTCTAATAACAGTGTCCCGAAGTGCCATTTTTGTCACGTCGCGTGAAGCGCAGCTAACACCAACCATCATTCGATGTACCCATCATAATTCAGTTTGATATAAATGCAATACTGAGCTGTATGACGACATAGAGAAATAAATGGCGGGGCTAAAGGCATGGCTTTGCGCACGATGATATGAATAAACCCTGTGCTGTACTGGAACCATTCAATTATAGTGTAACTACTCATAGAACGACAGAAGCAAGGATTTTCAATCGTCAAGCAAATAAAAGCGCCTAAAAATTTACATTTATTGTGTGCACACACTGGCGCTTTCCACATGTTTTGGTACGGAACTAACTTCAAGCAGCTGTTAAAGCCTCTTCCCAGCGACACCAGTGCTAAGGTCGCCGCAGGATTTTATGGTCGTCACGATGTGTCGCGTCTTAGTGCGGCGAGGCTTGATATCAGGACTCGGCGCAGCCAATCCGGATGCAAGTCCAAGTGATTTCATGTCCCGTATATAGAAATGGAGTGCCAACCGGTTGCGAAATCGGTCGCTCACTGTTCTATGCCGCGACGACCAGCCAGATCTCATCCCGCAGCCCATTTTAGGTGAGGCTTCACCGGTGGATAATGTTGAACTAATACTGGAAAACTGCACGGCTTCAACGAAAGTGTTTTCTCTCACAAAGGACTGTTTTGTAGAACATACTACAGGTGCTGCCATGCAAAAAAAGAAACGAGGAAAGCCATGACGGTTACCTGGAATATAAGCTGCACAAAAATGTATATAATCATATGTGATCCTGAACTTATTGTGTCACCCAAGCGAGACACTTTTTGTTTGTTTGCCATAAATGGCCAAATGCTACCTATAAGACGCTTCAACATGATTCATGAAGCGTGATGTCAGCCTCATGTTGTAAAGATCCAAGCGATCCAACATGGTATTGGTGACGCAATACAAGTCCAGACCACACCTCCACAGTCCCTTAAGTATTCCATTAAGTAGAGAATAGACGTTGACATCAACCCATCTGCAAGCTTCTTGCAGTTCGTTTCAAAGGCCAACTGCCGGAGAGAGCTCGTTTACAGGTGATATAAGATGTGATTGACGTGCGCTGATATCTGGGCAAAGTTCTGGCTCAAATTGTTTGTACTTTCAGTGACGAAGCACTACTAGTGATGCCGCTACAGATACAGGCGGTCCGTCCCTCGGAGGCAGGAGAGGGTGAAACGACGGGCCAAGCTCCGAGGGTGACGCGGGGTGACTCCGCAGCTCAGTGCGGCTCAGAGCGTGGCGATGTCCCACTTACAGTTCCATGACGAGTATGTACTGCTGCTCGGTCTCGAACAGCTCGTGCAGCTGGACGACGCGTGGACAGCGGCGGCAGCGCAGCATGGCCGCCATCTCATGCACGATCTCTCGGCGGGCGTCCAGACCCAGTCGGCTCTTGCTGCAGAACTTGGCGGCAAACTCCAGCTCGGTGCCCAGCCGCCGGCACTTGTACACACTGGCCCACTGGCCCCTGTCGAGGATCCGCACCGCCTATCACGGACGGATTCACCACACCACACACCAGAGATGACTGATGGCCACACCACGGATGATGAATGGTCACACCATACATGACGGATGGCTACACCAGAGATGGCGGATGGCCACACCGCAGATGACTGATGGCCACACCACAGATGACGAATGGTCACACCACAGATGACGGATGGCCACGCCACAGATGACTGATGGCCACACCACAGATGACGAATGGTGACACCACACATGACGGATGGCCACACCACAGATGACGGATGGCCACACCACAGATGACGGATGGCCACGCCACAGATGATTGATGGCCACGCCACAGATGACGAATGGTCACACCACAGATGACTGATGGCCACACCACAGATGACTGATGGCCACACCACAGATGATGGATGGCCACACCACAGATGACGGAATGGTCACACCACAGATGACGAATGGTCACACCACACATGACGGATGGTCACACCACAGATGACGGATGGCCACGCCACAGATGACGGATGGCCACGCCACAGATGACACACTTCTAACGTCACTGTCGGTTCCCGACAAATAAAGAGGCGTAAATGACGTAACTACATTAATTAGTACCATGTCACCATAATTTAGACTAGATTTAACACAATTTCAAAGCCTTGTGTTCTTACACATTTGGTACGAAAAACAGCTATGATTCGTACATATCTAGCTCTTATCATTTACTCGCCGCTTTCTCACCCGTCCTCTCCCCGCCTCCTCCGTATCTTTCTCTGAGACCACAGTTAGCTCGGCGGCTATTCATATCACTGGGGAGGATGCTCTAATGCTTCTAGACGTTGTCTGCAGCACGGTACTGGCGTGCCTCGTAACTCAGTAGTCCAGCTCCCAAAACTGACTACCACTCGACGCAAACATGTGGTGGCACATGACCAGCTGCATAAGAGACTCTCTTTTCGAACCGAAAACGCGTGCTGGTTTAATTGGAATGTGGTGTAATCAGCTACCCCATAGGCATGCGATGGTGTTCCTATATCGCAGTTAAAACAATATGTGAACAATCGTTTTATCTATAAAACCGTAGTCATTTACCGTGAGGAGGCAAATGACTACGGCCAGCACTTCATAAAATGTCTGATATCTTCAACGTAACATTTCGCATTCACCTGTAGAATTTCAACTGAGATGATAAGATTGCGGCATGTCGAAATCATCAAGAACGCCCTTAAATTCAAATCCCAAATGTTCTATTGCCTCCACCGGAAGGAAGCTGGCCAAACTTTCAGTTCGGTTTGGATCCATTGTAATATAATGTGTGCGGCACAATGTCGCTGAACCGTTTCCGGACTTCTGTGATTTCTCCTGTCTAAGAAAAGCAAAGATAATCCCAGAACCATTACCAACCACCCGGCCTGCCAACAGCAATAATTGTGAAGTCATATTTTGCCGCTACTGATATTTCCCATGGTAAAACTTGCCTTCATCGGTTGGCCAGAAAGGGAGTGCCGTTTGTTTTCAGTGTCTGCCGACGTCAGGTCAGCGGCATGACCAGCGGTGCGGGGGCGGGACGGGGACCTCGGCGGCCCGCCAGGCGACGACATCGGCGACTGCATCACGAACCAGGCTGAGTCATAACACCAGCCACGTTGCCATGGTGGTGAGCGCGGGTCCAGTGAAAGGCGCCCCCGATAGCCGTGAGTATCAGTGCGCGTGCGCAGCCCCCAGTAGCCGTGGCCGCGCCTGATCAATGCACCACTTGCGGCACGTGACGAGGCCGCCGAGAGCATCTAATGAGACCTGCCACGGGCCATGGGACCAAGGTCGCCGCCGGTGCCGACCGCCGCCCGGCCGAAGCGGCGCCGCACGGAATTCTAATCAGTGAGATACCGGTACCATTCCAAGCCTCAAAATTAGCTCATGCCAATATCCTGTCCGAAATGAGCCTTGAAAGACAGTGTTAGGCCGGCACCGCCCGGAGCGTTCCGCCAGCCGTGACCGACGCCGTGCGGGGGGAGGGGAGGGCAGGGGAAGTGCCTCTGCCATCTCGCGATGTCAAAGTCGGTTCGACTTCAGAAGGGTCCTATGAAGTGTCAAAGTCACTTGCATGCGCAAAGCTGCTCATTTTCAAGGGCGGTTCCAGCAGGGTGGGGAACTGGGTCAGCCCCCCCCCCCCCTAAGATAGCCCAGTCTAGGTAGAAATGACGCACTTCTGGCTTCCCTCCAATGTGGTGTTCTGGATGCCTATTTGCTTATTTTTGACATATTTAAGCAAATTTGTATGCTCTGTGCCGTGTGAAGCCCGGAAGAACACCCCCATCTGGCAAACAAGCTAGTTCCCTGTGAGCTTGATGGCTCGAAAAAGCGTAGCTTTTATTTCCAGCTGCAAAAAAGGCACTGGTTTGCCACTTGCCTTTTGTGGAAAATATAATGGCCGCATGTCTGTACAAACCCCAACCGATACAATTATCCTCAGATGTAAACAGAATACGCAACTGCAGTTCACGCAATGGTGACTCATCTAAAACAGCAGATTCGTCAACATGCAATGCGGCGTACCTGCACACATAGTGCGCATACATTATACGCTGTGCCGATCTGATTATCTCAACGAAACAGCCAAGATGGTGCAAAGCGTTAAGACACAACACGATATAACTAGCTATAAGTAGCTATTGAGCTCAGATGGCGTTTCAAATCGGTAAAGCCTTAACTGATTCGCTTGGCCACATATTGTTGTTTTGCGTTGACGTAAGAAAGGCTATGAGCAGAATTAGAACCTATTGCAATGTAACCAAAACAGGTGTCACGCTCAACCCTGCAACACGCAATTTGACCTAACTCTTCTTTTACTTCCAAAAAGAGAAACGAAAACGCAAAGCTGAAGTCCTGAGTCCCGCAGAAACAATCCAAACCGTCTCCCAATGTATTGCGGCAAGAGACGAGCGTGCCTGACGTCGCAGCATCATGACAAATCCCCCGATTCAGCCGGCGTGCCGCTGTCAGGGTCTGGGTGCGGGCCGACCGCAGCCGCCAGCCGCGGCCGCGGCGCGCGCGCGCGCGCGCGCGGGGGCGACCGGCTCGCCTAGCGGGCCGGCCTCGCCCCCGCGCCGGCCGTGTCCGGGAGAGATCAGCCGCCGCCGCGGCCGACGACGCCCAGCGTCTAACAGGCTCGTTACGGAGCGGCGGGCGTTCATGCGAGGCTGGCCGCTGCAGCTGCCGGGGCCGCCCTGCATCTCGCGCCGGCGAGGCCGAGAGACGCCCTCGTTTGACGGACGACCTGGCCTGTCAGCCAATCACTACAGCGCACCGGTGGGGCTGTCTGGCTTCCGGATCATCAAACGTGCATGAACTAGAAAAAAGGTGAGAGAATGGTGGCTGGATTTGCATGGGATCTATAAAAACGGATAAGACGATGTCTTACGTACCTCTGCAGTCCCAAGCTACCTGTGACTCGTCCAAACAATAAAACAAAAGCCCAGTTGAGGTACGGAGTACATGCTTACGGTACAACGAGGGTATTACGGAAATGTGATCGGTTTTCTGTTATATGAAATTGCTATCGAAACAAGTTACTATTTCATTCAAAATCATTGATTATGCAGTTTTAAACTGTAAACTTCATCTGCGTATCCGATCAGTTTCGGAGGCACCGTGCCCGGCCGTTCCGCCTCTGAGCTGGGGCGGAGGCAGCCTGCCCGCCTGCTTTGGGTTGCGGCGGGGGCAGCCTGCCCGTCTGCTCTGAGCTGGGGCGGAGAGCCAAGTCGCTCAGCCGCAGTCGTACCGTACTAATTAACAGTTAATTCAGAAGAAAATGACAATATTTTGTGTACATTCTTGGAAGATTTTAGACAACATTTAAATGTGATGTAGCCATGCGGTAAGTATCAATATGTGCTCGCGAAAATCACCTTGACACGGGAGATAAATTTAATAAAGACATAAAAACATGAGGCTTGTTATATGTTGCATATATATATATATATATATATATATGTATATATATATTGTTATATATGTTGTTATTGTTATATATGTATATAGTCATGTGTACGTTATGTCATTTCGTTATACACATTTGTGTTGTAATAGTTCGGGAGACGACCAAAAGAAAAGACAAACTGGACGGTATTAAGATGTATCGTAGCTGGACAGTCAACGTTATAGTCTGTTCAAAGGCCCCTGCGCTTGACCTTTCAAAGTTTTGACCTCAAGTTAATAGTAAAGATGGTTGCTTCCTTCACAGCACAATCAGTCTGTCATCAAGTTCATTCGAAACGAAAAGTGAACCGAATCGATGATAAGGAAAGTTATTGCTGAGATATATTCATCGGTACATGTTGGCTTGCTCACACATCAGCCAGATGCTACGTTTCATACGGTCCGAAAGGCAATCCGCCGGAGATCGGGAACCATGCATAGTGTTGGCAACACGAGATATGTATTCAGTGGTGAGGCCACAAGGCATCGCCACGTGCTAAGACATAGAGGCCACCTCTCAGTCGCCGAAACCGACTGGTTCCTCAGCAGACTCTAGAATTCATAGCACAGCGCATCAGCTTGGCCTATAGTCATACCTCTACAAACTTACCAATTAATTGATAAGGGCCATTTTTTTCGACTGATGAAACACGTAATCATGCTGTAGTCGATTTAAACTTCATTTCTGGACAAATTGTACTTGCTTTAAAGAACGGATTTCAACGATAGCTCATAAATGATGTTGCAAAGACAAAAAAGGTCATATCTAAAATCAGGTTACCGAGTTTCTAAGTACCGGAATCCCTGCTCTTCAAAACACAACATTTTCTTGATGCGATGCATAAGGTCGATGCGCGTGGTATTTATGAACTTTACGGGTAGGGAACACTCTACGTCTCGTTATGTTTCATGCCCCCGTTCAATTTTGTATGGTTTAAGATTTATAAAAAAGCAAATCATGCAGGGAGGGGCAATAAAATAGCACCACTAGTACCTGCGGAAGATTTCTAGCAGATAGCA